CACCGTAGTTCCACCCGTGCACCAGGACACGCTGGTATATGCCTGCACAGGGTCCCATGCAGCTGCTAGAGCGATCTCTGAGTCGAGACCAGTGCTGTGGTATTCCTCTTCTGTACCCCTTTATTAAACAGAATTCTTCAGACAGAAGTAATCGTAGCAAATCTAGGAGGATTTGGGAACTTTCCCCTTCCCTGCCCTTGAGCTTATGTTCATCTGAAAACTGAAAATTTCATTTAAAAAAAGGAAACTGAGTGACCTGTGAAAGGTCACTGATCTGTCCTTAAGGAAAGCTTCTATAGTTAACTACCATCATACCTGCAAAGAAAAAACAGCAGTGAGTGAGAGGTGAAGTCTGTCATCGGCGCAGCGAGTGTGGAAAGGATGGTAAAGCCTCGCTGACGGCTGGTTGACAGCAGCATACTGAGCTGTCGGGCGGCCTCATTAGGGACACAGCTCTGAGGCAAGCGCTGCCAGGCTGCGTTGTGCGGAGTTAAGCAGTGTGAATAGAGCCTGCAAGCAAAGCTGCTGGAACTGGCTTTCGTGCTCCCTCCAGACAGCCGTCCTTGGCTACTAGCTTCTTTTCTGAGTCCAGACTGGCCACGTGGAGTTTTGGCAGTGTTATAGGCCCCGAAGATTAGTTATAGATTACAGAAGTAATCTAACTCGTGTTAAGACGAGTTACGCAGCTTATCTTTCTAACGGTTTTTGCACACATACTCTTAGTCATACTATTAGAGACAGAGCATCAATTCACTACATCTGGTGACTTGATTAGAAATAGATTTAAGCCCTTTCTCTTAAAACCTAATTTGAAATACTATGGATATTTTTCCTTATCTTCCTAGCTCTCATCAGCTAGATGCTAGCTACGAGGCAATTAAAGCTTGCCTTTCTTTCCTGATGTCAGAAGACAACCTCAGTCTCTTGGTTTGATCCTTTGGTTATGTCTCTCTGGTGCGATGCAATGATGAGTAGATGGATCCTTAGTGCAACAAGCTGGAGCTGCAGTGTGGACCTCCCAGTGTGTTCTCTGAGGTCACATGGAAAACTTTCCCCAGAGTTCGAATTTACCAAAAACTATCCTATAAAAAAGAATTCTGGAGAAAAATTGAAGGTATGAGCACCAGTTCACCTGCTTCTCCTCACCATGGGAACAGCTACTGCTCGAAACTCCTGCTTACCCATCTCCCACGCCATGGTGAACTGGGCTGCAGCATTCATTCAGCAGGCACCAGGGTGCCTCAGATCTGCCCTTGGGGAGACTCTCCATGAATCTCTTGAAGAACAATCCCTTGGTGAGTTGTCCCGTATGTGGACAGGACCTGCCCTTTTGTATGACTGATACCTGGCAGACCCTGGGGTTGTTCACTGTTTTCTCCCGTAATTGAGCTAACACTGCCTTCTACTTGGACGACCATCTTGCAGTCTGACAGGTAGATATCTCCGCTCCACTTCCCACACAAATTCCTACAGGTGGATTTTGAGGTATGTGCTGTATAAATCCATGGCGGCCGCTGGAAGAGCTCTGTGGTGAGCTGTGGTGTTATGGAGTGACCCTTCTGGGTAGGGAAGAGGAAGAGCCATGGTAGGGAAGGACTCACCATGTGCAACCTAGCTGGGCTGGCGTTCACCTCCCTGGGTGACTGACCGGTCATTATTCCTGTGAGTGTCGTTAAACGTTCAGCAAGGATAAGAGATTATTTCCATCTCATGAAGGGAACAACCAGATTGTCTGAGTGCTCGCTCGCTCCTCCCAATGTGTGTCAGAATACACCATTAATTTAGGCACTGGAACCCAATGGAGAAGAGAATTTTCTGAGTCTCTACCATGTGTTTACCTTTATGACTCCAGTCCCTCACCCATCCTTTCTGGATGCTCTTTCCTGAAGGCTTCAATCTTATTAAAGCTTTTTTTGTTTGTTTGTTTCTGCATAGTCTTCTGCCAGAGAAAAGGCTCAAATTGATAAGTTTCTGGTAACCACTTCCTGTGTTCTCACCTGATTTATCTGATTGCATTTATAGCTGGGTCAAATACTCCATTAAGGATTTCAGATGCTATCGAAACCAGTGGAGAAAAAGGTTTCCCAGGAGATTGACTGTGTGTGCTTGTGTGGAACAGACTGAAGTGGTGAATTGGTCTGCACAATTACCTTGGAGAGTGCTGCACTGTTCTAGCATTTCTGTCACTAAATACCTGGGGTAGTCGTTAGTTGTGAGCAGACAACATTCCCCACCTGCTGTGTCAGCTGCTCTTATTGCACCGGGAGGCTTCCCTCCTCCCCTGAAACAAGAGGAATTTGTGCTTCTGCCTATTCAGAAGGAAGGATATCTATTTAATGCAGTGCCCTATTTAGGGAAGTAAAACAGTGTTTTTCCAAGGGTGGAAGAACACTTGCTGTGTGGGAGGGAAAACTTCTTACAAACAAAACGGAGTTTTTTCATTTTACTTTGTCAGGGCTTTCTGTTAGAGCAAGGCTGGAGGAGAGAAATTTGGAAAGATTCTGGGAAGCTTTGACTCAGGAAGAGGAGAATGATTCATAGATTTTTATTATTGTTATTTACCAAGGCCAGACCAAACCAGTGGACCTAATCTTTTACTTATCTTTCTCTTCGAAAACATAAAGCACTGATGCAATGACCCCAAAAGAGTTTGTGGGTTTGAACCAAGGTCTTTCAGTACTGAAGCACAAATCTGAGCTATGGGAGGCAGCCCACGACCATTTTAAGCTGAATTTACTCCTGTTACCATCAGGTTATGCACTAGAAAATACTGTACAGGGTTGATAAGTATTTTTAAAATGAATCTTCAGTGCGTCCCTTCCCTGTTTGTAAGGCAGGGTGGCAAATGAATTGCCCATGGAAAATGGGAATGTCAGGGGCACTTAAAGAACTGGGATTTGACAAGTTGTGGAGACTTGCCCATTTCTGTGTTGTGACAGTGGTCAGCTTATCTCCATTATTGCTGGAGTCCTGATGTAAGAGTTGCTTTGTTCAAGAGTCATTCTTCAGTCTTGAAGGGGAAAATTTGATTACTGAGAGGAGCAGCTTGTTTAGCAGCAAACTTTTTCCCCTCCTTAATTTGGGAGTGAACATTTATTCCTCTAAAAATAATTTTGCTGTTAGTGCTCAAAATAAAAGATCAATCACAGGGCTTAGGTCAGAAAAACATTTTTAAACTTCAGCCTAACCTAATGACTACACAGTAATTAACAATTGCTCTTGTATTCTGCTGCTGTGAAAGGACATTTATGCAACCTAAATGGCATTTACATTCAAATTTGGCAAAAGAATTTCAGTGAAGAAAAGATCAAAACCTAGTCACAATTTATGTCCCAACTACAATTTCATTCTTGTGTAACTTTAGAAGGTAGTAACTAGAAGCTAACTAGATGGGTTAAAGTAAATACGACTTAATCGTTTGACTAATTCCTTGGGCCAGTTCTTTAAAGAATTCATGAAACTAGATTTTGTCCAACTTATGGAAATGGAAAGGCCTTTGGCCTGTGACCACCTGACTTTGTCTTTTCCACCTGTGGCAGCTTGTAGCACAGGCCCATGCATCCCTAACGCTTTTAGGCCTGTTGTGTAGGTGGCTGAGAGTCAGGGAGACTTCCAGACTTTTAACTTACTTGGCCAGTGGTGGAGCCTGGAATAAGCATCTTTATTATTCTCCTGAAAAATCCTGTTAGCAAAGCAATCTCATCATATCTAAGCTACTGGCTTGAATTTTACTCAAGTAGTTGTCTATTAAACTGGGTGGCAGCTTAGTCTCAAGATAGAGAAAAAATGCACACAAGGACTAGTCTATCTAGAAAAGTGATAGAGAAAGAACAAATGTCCATTGACACAGCACATATAGAAATGTGCACTTAGATCTGTGTTTTACTGCTTTGGGGAAATCGGAAGTCTTCAGCTTCCAGGACTATGAATCAAATACTTCTGACCAACTCAACACCTGTCCTAGGAGGATTTACTTAGGTGAAATAACCTCAGAAAAATCAGTTTATGTCAGTAGCTATAATAAACAATTGTGCAAAGTTAAGAGATCTCCAAGCTTTGTATAATCAACTGGAATCTTAATTAAGTTCAGCCTCTGATAAGAATTTATCAGTAATTATAGACATTTAGTTGATGTGCAAGCAATCCTCTAAAATCCTCCTCCCATCAAAAAGAATTTTGTGATTCATACTTATTACTGCAGTTAAAACATTTTCTTTGCTTAAAGGTCTAAAGGAATGCCAGCAACAAGCAGTGAAAGAGGTGTGATAAGGCATCAGAAATCCATCAATGGTTTCTTAGCAAAGCTGCGATATAAACTCTTGGAGCTCAACTGAAGTCGATATCTATGCCTGGAATGAACTTGTCCCAGCGTGCTGTTGGGGAATCTGAATAAGTGTTTTGATAGAAATAAGATATCCTCTGTCAGAATTGTTAGTATCTTCCAAACACCGAACTCAAAAAGTGAGCCATACAGTCAAACACTAGAGTGCAAGGGTAAAATTACACAGAGGGGTTGGGTAAGAACAAACGTGTCAGTCTTAGGATATAGGCTTCCTCTTAATAGGTTTGGACTTTGCAGCCCACTTAGCTTGCCAGAATTAAACAAAAGATATACAGTTTGTGGCTTTTTCGTGCCTTATTTTTTAATGCAGTGCATGATGAACAAACTGTATCCTGCAGCAAAACTTGCTGCTCCATAGTTACCGTACCAAGGGGCCAGTCCCCTGTCTTTGATTCCCCCCATCAAGATCAACCCCAGCAAGAATGATCCTCATAATGAGACTAAAGGCTTCATTTCATGGAAATATTTTGTCAGTCAGCTCAATGCTAACATCCACAGTCTAGGCAGTACATCCCAGAGATCATTCTTAAGGAGCGTGATTAAAAAAATATTTCCCTGGGAGTGATTTTGCTGCTTGGGCAAATCTCTTACAGGTGCAATCTATTACGAAGGCCAGACTGCTTTCTATAAATGAGAAGGGAAAAGAGATCCAAAGAACAGGCACTGATATGCAGCCTTGCTAGTAAGAAAGATCTGAGGGAAGACTGCAAATTTTAGTGGAAGTAAAATTTTGGGGGGAAAATCCCCAGGCAATAATAGGATATTTGAAAGGAACTATTTATTCTCCACAAAATTCTCCAGAGTTGGTAGACTCAGAAGCAAACAAAAATACCCAAAGAAAAACTGTCACTTGAGCAACCTAACCTGGTTTTTGAACACCGCACTCTTTCGTATCGTATCGGTGGGACTGGCAATAGATTTAAGTCATCTGATATGCAAGCTTATTTGCTCTGCCGTAGCTAATTTCTAATGAACAGCAGCCAACACCAATGTTGAAGTCGGGTGACATCAGCATTCAGTATCTGAGGTGTCACTCCGCACTCCTTCCCCCCCCTTTTTTTTTTTGAAGATCGGCAAAAGAATGTATAGGGACCTCCCTCACCTGAGAGGCACAGAGCTGGGTAAGTGGATGTTTTGCAAATTTTTTTTTTAAGAGCATCCCCAGCTTCAGTCTGACAACACAAAACTGATATGTTCTTCTTCTCTCCTAGGAGTGGAAATTCGAGATCCAGCTAGAAGGTAAGCTACCTGGTTGATTATAACAAATCCCTCATCCAGACCAAAGAATTTTCCCTAAAACCTCTTTCAATCTGAAATTCAAATATTCCCTGAGGGCAGTTCTTTTGGAAAAAAAAAAAATTTTTTTTTTTAACAATAACATCTTAAAGTACATGTGATAGTTTATTCTTTTGTTTCTCTGACTCAGGAAAATTCATTGTGGATTTTTCTTTACCCCACTGTTTCAGAGGGATACATGTAACCTCTCAAAATGACTACCCTTTTTGAAAATTCTTTGCCACTGTTATATATACCAAATAAATTGAAGCCAAACTATCTCTAGTATATGTTTCTGTGACACACCAAAATGATTGCTAGGATTTTGATTGTCCATAGCTAGAACTGAAAATTATTTTAGTGCTGAACAAAGGAAAAAACAAACCTCCCCCTTCCCTGTCCCTCTCCCTAAATCCTCTGAAAACCGTGTATAACAATTATTTGATCTTTCTCTGCAGCCAGAAACAGCCCCCGAGCCGTTCTTCCTGGCACTTTCTGTCGGTGGCATTGTGCGCCTCATCTCCGAGTCTCGGCGTGCCAGCTCTCTCCTAGGCCTCAGTCCATTTGTCTGCTGTTAAACGCTTTCCCATCTGATTTTGCCTCCACGCTGGATTTCTCCTGGACCTTGAAAGCAGTGAATAGTTTTGAAGGCAAATGACCAAGGGGGAGCAGAATGCAATTTGAGGAGCCCTTTGCCTGGGGTTTCTGAGTCCTGAAAGCCTCTCCTCGGTGCTGGTGATCCTTAGTTGCATCTGTGCCCTCAGGCAGTAGAGCCTTGGTAGGCATAAGAGGCTGCCTTGCTCTCCTTGACTCTGGCTCAGCCTCGGATTGCTTTTACTCCTCCTTCCTGAGCTGACTTTCCTCCTCACCTGCTGTTCCTCCTCTCTTCCTCAGGTGGCATGGCTCTTCTGCGAAAATGTATGCAACTTTTAAATCATATTTCTCTGATACCACCTTCTACTCTTGCTATTTGAGTATTAAATTTCACTTTTTTTATATCAAACCACATCACGTATCTTTTTGTGGCCGTGGAAGCATGTTTGACATATTTAAACTGTCATTGTGGGGTTCTTCTCCAAACAGAGTTCAAACCGTTACATTACAGTCTGTACCAGACTCTTCCTAGCAGCTGTGTTTATACAGCTTCTAGCAAATGGGTCTCTGATTAGGATTTTAAAATAGCTCATTCACAGAAAAGGTGCCATTTTGAACCAGCTAATGCTATTAAGAAATTTGGGATAAAATGTGATGAAGGGTTTTGGTCTGAAGAAATGTCCATGGCAGCACCCTTCCAAATTTTAGGCCCAAGACAGCGTCACCACTAATATGACAAAGATGAGGTTACTGGAATTTAATTTGTGCAAGAAGTGTTTTGCTTATTTTAAAAAATGGTAGACAGAGTGATTTGACTGAGGTGGAAAATTATATGTTCCGAATAGTCAGCCAAAATGGTTAAAGTCTGGTAAATTATGTACAACTGAAGATAGGTTCTTTATCTTGGAATTGTCAGGGAATGGTAATTTTGGACAATTTGACCCCAAATGGGTAGCCGAACATTGGGGCAATTCTGGGATAGTTTCACGCCTGTTTAGACAACCTGTTTGAGAAACCAAAACCCATTTTACGTTCTGAATGATGCTGATGCGCTTTACAGCCTGTGTGTTAGGCAGGTGGGTGGTATATAGCCACTTTGTTCCTGCTGTGCCGTGATAGGTCTTTCCAAGAGTTGCAGAGTTAGAGAAGCAGTGGTTGTGTGCCAACAGCAATGCCTTCCTGGGTACGGGGGACCCTGCACACTTGTAAAATGTTAAGGCTAGAAGGAAAAGGTACCTAATCTGGGCTGTTCCCCACTGTGGAAATGCAGCTGCATTTCCAGTATTCTGCCAGTTTGGTTACAAGCTTTCTTGCTCTGAGTACTGGCATTGAACTGAAAGACTAAGCATACCTTAAGGCAGGGAAATACAAATGCTGCTTCTGCTCCGTTAGGCTGGAACACCTGATTGAATGATCGAAAGCTACTTCATCTGCAAACTCCATACTTAACTATTTTTTAACTCGTAAACCATGACCAAAGATTTATAAGCTTTTGTCATGATCTGTAAATCTAGATCTCCTCTTGTCCTTTTACTCTAGACAAATGGCTTGTAGAGGAAATTGTAGTTGCTTGGATAAGTCTAGATTTCAGCAGTCAGTCCTCTTAGGTCAGACATATAAGAAACATCTGTAATTGTTTGAGGAATTGGCACTAGATCTTACACTTAAATCACATTTTCCCCTTTGATAGTTAGAAATGTCCATGTATACATTAGGTGCACAATCCACATACCCCTGCACTTGCAGAATCAAACAGAGCATCAGCTTGCTGTTACCTTGCAAATCCTACTGCAAGGTAAGAGCAAGCTGATAACTTTGTAGTAAAAGAAACCAGCTTGCAGTTCTTCTAAAACCATCTACCCTTTTGTGCCCCAGAATAAACCTCCCCCAGTTTTAAGGGGAATTGCCACCAAGTAGCAGGCTACATTAGTCTTCAGAATTTACTGCTTGGTTTGGATTTTGGATAAGAGTTAAATCAAAAGGTCCTTTGAATAAGATTACAAAAACTCTCCTTTCTGGGCAGAATTGCTGGGCTGTGTGCGTAGTTGTCCCATGTTAGGCCTCTGAGCACAATTTATGTATGGTAGTACATAGTCTAGAATAAGGCCCTGATCCTGTAATGAGATCATGTGAATTCAAAGCATATTAAACTTAATCCTGTTTTTCCAGGATTATACTCTGCAAATTTAAAATTGCAGTGTATAAAAAAGACATAATGTTCCTGACTGCTCATTATTAAGAATTAGGCCCAGCTCACTGGGAAGTGAGTCTTTAGTTCTGCTACAGAAAGCAGAATTTGGCACATGGACTTCAGTGGGAGATCCAAGCTGATGCCTGGTGACTTTTGCAAAGCAGAACAAATGGTTGCTATGTTTGCTAAAATTGCATTAGTGCTGGATGCTTCTAGTACAGCCTGAGCAAAGAAAGTTTGAAAGTCTGGCTGTCTGTTGGCAAACTTTACCTTTCGATTCAGTCTATACCATAGCATTTGTAGACCCGCCAGGCAGGAATTTGGGGCTCTGCTTTATGTGATGCCAACTGCAATATTGGGACTTTAATACTTTTGGAAAATGTTTTTGCTTGTAGTAGAAAAACTTGGTGAAACCAGGCAAAATCCTAAATAATGTGTTGAAATCAACTCCTGAGTGTCAGATTCCTGCACAGGATGTCCTTTGTTGGGCACAGTAGTTGTCTGAACATCCCAAGGAGGAGACTGCATTGACTGTTCAGAGGCTCAGCTGCTGCTCTGGCCTTGACTACTGAAATGTTGGTAAGTTTGCTAGGGAAGTGTCCTTGGTAGCTCTGAGCTCCAGACCATATTCTAGTATTACAGTTCTTCCTAGCAGCATTCAATGACCAACCTTGTGCGATGGCAAGACTCTCCATGTACGGCACCCTGTTTTATTCTGAGGACTAGCTTGGCTGGTTTTCAGTAGTACTTCAGAGGCAGGGGTTGTTACTGTGGACTGATTTTGCAGGAACTAGAGAGAATGAAAGTAGAAGAATCATCTCCTTTGAAGCTAGCGCCATTATAAAAAATAGCTCTATTGTCTTCAGTATGTTACTGCTGTAGCACCATGGAAAAGAGACATAGGGTTTTCTTGCTATGCTTTTTGTCATCTCCTTTGCTCTCATTTTCCTCTTTTTCTCTTCATGTCCTCTGGACTTTTTCCTTGAGGCTCTCTCATCTACATTCAGTATCTCCCTCTGTTTTCACTTATTCTTTAACACACTTAATCCTAGGTAGTCAGTTCTAACTGCTTTTTTTGCCTTTATTCCCTGGAAAACATCCACAACCTTTCTGTTCACTTCTCAGGGCTTTTCTGTATCTCAGGACTGGCATATTTTAGCCAGCAGTCAACCTCTGTGCTCCTCCAGCCGAGGAAGTGGTGGATAGCAAGAGACCGGGTGCCTGATCGGGCTCAGTTGAGTATCTCCCCTTGTGGGATGTTCCTGGTGGCCGCTGCCTGTGTTCAAGGCAGCATGCCCCAGTTTGTCTGTATGTGTTGGGGGTGGCAGGAAGGGCTGGCGTAGAGCGTGCCAAGCAATTTGGCATCTTCCGCAAATGCTTTTTTTTCCTCATAAAAATACAGACTCCTTTTTCAGGAATATTAACCCGTCGAGAAGAGGTTTTAGCACCTCCAGGGGAATACAGTGTAGTATTTCTCTTGCAATCCTATCTGAACCACTTTAGGAAGTTGCAGCGAGTATGTTAGAGCTGATTGGCAGTTGTCAGTCACTGGTTATACGCCTTCATTTTTTTTTCTGAGGCAGGCCAAATTGTCCTGGTGCAGCCCTTTT